ATATGTACTGCATTTTCTAACAAAATCAATCTCAAATTGTAGCAATATACATAATTTGTATACAATATACAAAAATCAAATCCAATGTAAAATAAAACTAGTAGTTGCCTTTTAAAAGTGAATTCAGTAATCTACCTTTTTATCTATATCATATCTATATCCTCTCCTTTTTATTTTCAGAGTAAATTTAATAATCTACCCTTTATTCTATCATTTCTGTATCATTTTTAGAGTAGATTCAATAATCTAACTCTTATCTACATACTCTTTTTTTAAAAAAACAAGAATTTTAAATCTAATTTCCTTTGTTTAGCCTTTTTCCTGACCATTAATAATAACAACTTGTAACTAACCATCCTAAACAATGACAATTATCCAAAACCCTTTGAAAGATCAAAAATCACCTACCTCTTGGGAATGTGGGCATTGTACTCTTAAAATTACTTCTTGCTCTTTGTGGGCAAAGGCGTATTTAGGGGATCCTGAAAAGAAAAATTTGGGGTTAATTGTCAAATCCTGGGGGAGGTATTATTTGTTGTCCATTCTCTGCTTAATGCAAAAGTACAGGGCTTATCTCAAGTCCTCCCTCAAATAGTCTATGAGGCTGGATCATCTTATCTTGCCATCTCAAAATTGTCCTGAGCAATTTGTAGTCCAAAGTTGAATTTTGGTAATGTGTTTCAGCTTAGTGGTATTATTATTTCCCTCATGGAATTGTCATTGTGGGGCCCCATCATATTTTTGGACACTTCAAATTTGCTGTTAGTCATGGACATGATTCCTTGCAGAAAACTGATAGAAACTAAATCACAGAAACATGTCCTGGCAGCTACATGAAACCTTTTTTCTAGAATTTGTTAGTACTCTATATGACCATTAATATCATAACAAAAGTTATATGTATATACATATATATATATACACACATATATATAAATCCTATAAATTTTGATATAAAATTCATACCTTAAAAAAAGTTTAAAGAATCAAAATAGAACCAAAGAATCATGAAATCAGTGGCAATAGAACAGTCCCATATTTTTGGTTTTCTTCTGTTCCATATCAGATGACTGTTCTGACATGATAGAGATATTGCATTTTCTTTTAACAAACATGTTTGGCTTTAGAGAAAGAGAGAGTCATTTTCCCACTGCAAAACCAGCTTTAATTTTTAATTAAATCTTTAACTACATAAAGACAGTTTGCGTTATGTGTCTGTAGAGAAGAGGAGAAACAAACATTTAAGAAGACTTATGAAAGTTTATATGTGATATACCGATAGGCCAATTTACTCTCTTTGTTGGGACATTTTTTTCTAGATGATTTGTCATTTTTCTTCAGATGTCTCATTTGTCCAGTGTTTTTCAGATTCTTTAGCCTTCATTATCCTGAAAGACAAAAACAAAAACCCTTCCCCAAGCCTAACATTTTGGAGGTTCCCTTTTGGCAAGTTATATCTGATTAAATGAAAAGCATTTGTTAGTGGTATAGTTAATTTTAAATTGGATGGTCATTCTGGCTGATGAACTATCACCTCTTCTAATTAAGAGGCCTCTCTGTTCAAATCAAACCTTTATCAATTTTGCTGGTATCCATAGCTTTTCTTCTCCTGTGGAAACCTAAACAAAACTTTGTCCCCAACATAATACATATCCTGGTTTCCATTCTGAGGTCAGCACATCTTTAAAGTATATAGGGTGATTTAATTTTGCAGGTTTTTTTGTCTGTTATCCAATGTCTCTCTGCAGCTGTTGTCCCTTTCTCATTAGTATTGAGAAAATTCAGAGTTAATAGAGCATTATGTAATCTATTTCTGGGGTTTTTAGTTACCCCTTTATGTTTACTTACAATATCCTTTAGTGTATGATTTGATCTTTTTTATACCTACTTGGCCTGTAGGAATATGTGGTATACCTGTAATATGCTTTACATTATAATAAGCAAAAATTGTTTCATTTTACCAGAGATATATGCTGGAGCACTGTCATTTTTAATTTGTGCAGGTATAACCATCATGGCCATAACTTCTAGCAAATGAGTGATTACAGAATCAGCTTTTTTTCTGAACTCAAAGCAGTTGCCCATTGAAATCCTGAATAGGTATCAGTGGTGTGGTGTAAATATTTCAATTTTCCAAATTCTACAAAGTGAAACACATCCATCTGCCAGATTTCATTCTTCTGAGTACCTTTTGGGTTGCATCCTGCTGGCAGCAGAGTCTGATTGTAAAAAGAACAATTAGGATATTTCCTTATCATTTCCTTGACTTGTTGCCAGGTTATGGAAAATCCTTTTTTAAACCCTTACTATTGACATGATGTTTTCATGAAATTCTGAGGCCTCCAGCACATTTCCTATCAATGGTTTATTGATCTCATCATTACTTTGTGCTAAAGGGCCTGATCACGTATGATATCAGATGTGGGTTATATATAAGTGATGACTCCTATTCCTGAAACATCATCAGTTGTTGTTCCTTGTTCTTGTACAGTCTGTATGGCCAGTGACTGTCCTTTATAATAATACCTCCTAATATTTCTCTCAGAAACATGTGTTCATTTAGACTTGTTTGTGAGGTTGGAGGAATGTTAATCTGGGTATTCCATTGTTGTAATAGGCTATGATCCCATAAATTCATAGCTATATTAGCCACATATGGTTTTAATTTTCCTATCTGTCCTTCTGACCCTATATATTCAACCCATCTTGTGCTCAGTTTCACTTGAGATAATGTTCCAATCCCTAAAAGCTGAACATTTTTCTCCTGAAGAGGCCAATTTGGATGCCGAAATTCTGGTGCAATTATTGTGATGTCCACACCTGTGTCTACAAAACCTTCCAAGAGAAGGTCACTTATTTGTATATTTAATTTTGGTCTTTGTTCATTTACAAAAGTTGGTCAAAAAATCCACTTTATGGTTTCTCCTGAATTTCCTGTTCTCTCTACTGTAGCTATTCTATTACCCTGAGCAGCCTGATTCATTCCAATAGGCATTTGGTTATTTAATTGCTCTGAGAAGCGGTTTCTTCTGTGATGGCAGGAAAGGAAAGAACTAAATTTGCCATGGGGGCCTGCATAAGTTTCCCAATGGCGGAGGCAAAGGATTACCTTGTATTCCCCTTGTTGGTCTACATTCCTTAGTCTGATGTTTACCTTTACTACACCTTCTGCATATTCCAGAATGGAGGGACATTCTGTTGCCACTGTTCCTTGAAGAAACATTGTTTCTAGGAACACCCTGTTTGCAATCCCTTTTTAGGTGACTTTGTATGCTGCAAAATTAAAGCATCTGACATTATTATTTTTCCTCAAAACTCTTGATATCAACTCTCCTATCCACATATCATCATGGTCATGATATTCAATATTAATTGTGTCCCTGATCCAATCCTCCAAGGGTGCTGATTTGACCTTTAACAGTCTGATTACCCTCTTGCATACTGCATTCACATTCTCAATAGCCAAAAATTCAATGATTATCTGTCTAGCTTCTGAATTTGGTAGTATTCTATCTACTGCTGAAGATGGCCTTTGTAAGAAATCCATGAAGGATCCTTTGGGGGCCCTGTATAACTTTTGTAAATGATTCAATTTTCATCTCTGCTTCCTCAAATCTGCCCCATGCATTCATGACTGCCATGCAGCATAGAATTAGGGTTTAGTTATCATATAAATATTGTCTTTGTGTATCAGTATATTTTTAGTACATGTACAATAAGTGAAAAGGTGAGTGAGTGAGTGTTTGAAATGACTAGTAGTCAGTCAGAGTGTTACTGTATGTAAATGCTATTTTTGTCTATATTTAAAGAATAAAGACTGATATTTTACAGTACATATACATGAAAGTTTTACTAGATTATCTCATCCATCACCTCACAAGTCACTTGTGCATGTGGTATAAATGTTGAAATCTCTTCTCTTGACAAATTCTCAGCGTGCAGTATGGTATCCTTCACTCTACTCTCCATGAGGTACATTTGCAAACTATTGCTTCTACAAAGCTGCTATATATTCCTTTTTGATTCACACCTCTGTACTTCTTATTTCTCCCCAACCCTGGTAGCTGACATTCTGGCTGCCTTGTCTCAATATTTTTTTTTATTTTTTTGATATTTTATCATTTAAAATAAATTTTGAATTTCAATATATCCTGATCATATTTTCCACTCCCAAGTTCGTCCAGATCCTCTCTTCCTCCCTATCCACCGAACTTTAATTTTTTTCTCAAAAAAACAAACAAAAAGCTCAATACAACAATAAAATGACTCAAACCTAGAAAACAAAATGCAACATCACCCCAAAAGAAAAAAAAATTAGCAAAACTGTAGACCAATGAAAGCACAAGCACAAAAACACTAAGGAGTTAATTATTTGTTGATAAACTAGTCTTGACCATGAGATCTGCACTGGAGTAGTTAGAATACCCAATGTCATTCCATTTGAGAAAACTGATTCTCCCTTTCTTGGCAGGGATAAATGACAGTTCCATTGTTGACCTTAACCCTAGTGGCTAGGTTTTCATTCATTCATTCACTTACTTATTCATTCATTTTTTTAAAAAAAATCGCAAAAATAAAACATAATAAGATAAAATAAAAAATGTCACATTAAAGTCAGACAAAACAGACCACCGGAAGGCAAAAGTATCAGAGACCCATCCCTTCACACATTCAGAAATCCCATAAAAACACTAAACTGGAAACTTTAATCTAAGCACATAGGACCTGATGCAGACCTGTGCAGGATCTGAGCATGCTGCTTTATTCTCTGTGAGTTCATATGAGCTTTGCTTATGTTGATTTAGAAGGTCTTGTTTTCTTGGTATCCTCCATCACTTCTGTGTTTTACTTTCTTTCTGCCTCCTGTTTCACAAGTTCCCTGAGCTCCAAGAGGAGGGACTTGATGGAGACATTTAATGTAGGGATGAGTGTTCCAAGGTCTCTCATTTTCTGATTATTATCTGGCTGTGTGACTCTTTATTTGTTCCCATCTGCACCAGGAGGAAGCTTCTCTCATGATGGTTGAACAAGGCACTGATCATAATGTCTTTTTGGATCTGGGATATTTCACTCAAGATGATTTTTTCTAGTTCCAGATATTTCCTGTAAGTTTCATTATTCCATATTTTCAATGTTTCAGTAATACTCTGTTGAATCACATTTTCTTTACCCATTCATCTTTTGAGGAACGTCTATATTTTTTTTTCCTAATGTGCTGTGGGATGGTCTGTATGTCAAATGTGTTGCTGATTGGTCAATGAATAAATCACTGATTGTCAGTGGCTAGGCAGGAAGTATAGGCGGGACTAACAGAGAGGAGAATTGAGAGAACAGGAAGCTGGGTGAGGGAGACACTGCCAGCCGCCATCAGGACAAGGAAGATGTAAAGTACCGGTAAGCCACAAGCCACGTGGCAAGGTATAGATTAATAGAAATGGATTAATTTAAGTTGTAAGAACAGTTAGCAAGAAGCCTGCCACGGCCATACAGTTTGTAACCAATATAAGTCTCTGTGTTTACTTGGTCGGGTCTGAATGGCTGTGGAACTGGCGGGTGAGAGAGATTTGTCCTGACTGTGGGCCAGGCAAGAAAACTCTAGCTACACTAATGTCTGGCTATTGTGAAGAGAACAGTAGTGAAAATGGCCAAGCAAGTGTTTCTGTGGTAGGATGATGCATTCTTTCAATGTATGCCCAAGAGTAGTATAGCTAGATCTTGAGTAAATCAATTCACATCATCTTGAAGAACCACCAAATTGTTTTCCATAGTGGTTGTGTGAACGTGCACTCCTGCCAACAATGGAGGAGTGCTCATCTTACTCCACATCCTCAACAGCATGAGCTTTCACTTGTTTTGTTGATCTTAGCCGTTCTGACAGGTTTAAGACAAAATCTCAAAGTAGTTTTTATTTACATTTCCCTGATGGCTAAAAATGTTCAACATTTCTTATTTATTTATTTAGTTACTTATTTATTTATCTATTTATTTATTTATTTTGGTTTTTTGAGACAGGATTTATCTGTGTAGTTTTGCACCTTTCCTGAAAACTCTGTGAGTTTGAGGCCAGCCTGGTCTACAGAGCGAGATCCAGGACAGGCACCAAAACTACCCAGAGAAAGCCTGTCTTGAAAAAAACCAAAATAAATAAATAAATAAATAGACAAATAAATAAATCTCTTTTCCTGTTCTATATAGGCTACGACTTTTTCTGAATAACAGTGTCCTTTGTTATGCAGAAGCTTCCAGTGAGGTTTAATTTATTAGTTGTTAATCTTAGTGCCTGATCTATAGGTGTTCTATTCAGAAATTTTTTCCCTGTGCCAATTAGTTCAAGGATACTCTTCACGTCTTCTTCTGTCAGATTCAGTGTATATGGCTTTATGTTGACGTCTTCGATCCCCTTGGAATTGAGTGTTGTGCAGGGTGATAAGTATGGACCTATGTGAATTATTCTACATGTATGCACACAACCAGTTTGACCAGCATCATGTGTTGAAAATGCTTTCATTTTTCTATTATGTATTTCTAGCTTCTTTATTCAGAATCAAGTGTCCATAGGCATGTAGATTTATGTCTGGGTCTTTAATTCAATTCTTTATTGATCAATATATTTGTTTTTTTGTGCCAATACTATGCTGTTTTTATTAGTATAGCCTTATAATAAATCACGTTGATCCTCACACACTAACAATAGGAGATTTCAATAACCTACAGGTTATATAAACAACAAATAACCAGAAAAATGTGGGAGCTAACTGAACTTATAAATAAATGGATAGATATTCACAGAACATTTCACCCAAACACACAAAAATATATATTTTCTTCTCAACATCTCATGGAATTTTCTCCAAAATTGACCACATGATCAAACACAAAGAAGTCTCAACAAATATAAGAAAATCAAAATAGGACCCTGAATTCTATCTGACCTTCAACATATTGAAGGTGGATATCAACAAAAAGTAGAAACAACAGAAAGCTTACAAACTCATGGAAACTGAACAACTCATTATTAAATGAAAAGTGAATAGACAGAACTGGTAAATCAGAGACTTCCTATAATTGAATGAAAATGAATTCACAGCGTACCCTAACATATGGGACACAATGAAGGCTGTTCTAAAAGCACTAATGCTTACATAAAAAAAATTGGAATTCTCTCATACTAGCAACCTAACAACACACCTGAAAGCTCTAGAACAAAAGGAAGTAATCACACCCAAGTGGCAGAGAGGGCAAGAAATAATCAAGCTCAGGGCAGAAATCACAAAATAGAAAAAAAGCACAAATCACAAAGAATGAATAAAACAAAGAGTTGTGTTTTTAAAGAAAATCAACAAGTTGAGAAACTCGTATCCAAGTTAACAAAAATGCAGAGAGAAAGAATATCCAAGTTAATAAAATTAGAGATTAAAGGGGGAGCATAATAGATACTGTGGAAATCCACTGAATCATAAGGAAATACTCTCAAAATCTATACTTCACTAAATTGGAAAATCTAAAAGAAGATCATTTTCTTGTTAGGTACAATTTTCCAAAGTTAAGTCAAGATCAGATAAGCAATTCAAACAGACGTATAACCCCTAGTGAAATAGAAGCAATCATTAAGTCTCCTTACAAAAAAAAAAAAAAAAAAAAAAAAAAAAAGAGGCCCAGGGCCAAATATAGTTTTAGTGCAGAATTTTATCATACTTTTAAAGGAAAGATAATGCCCATAGTCCTCAAATTATTCCACAAAGTAAAAACAGAAGAAATATTGCCCAATTCATTTTATATTCTATTTTAGGTAAGATAACACAAAACTGTTTTTTGTTTTATTCGATGTCTAGCTTGTATAATAATGGTGTTTTCTAGAATTAATCATATTATTTCAAAAGGCAATATCTGCTCCATTTTTATGCAAGAAAAATATTAATATGAGTATAATCATGTACATAGGAGACTTTGTTGGTTCATTCCACAGACACTTCAGTTGCTTCCACATCTTGGCTTTTGAGGACAATGCTATTGTTTTGTACAGGAGAACACATCTATCTGCATAAATGTTGATTTAATTTGTAATATATAGTGAGAGGTTACTGGATCACAAGATAGCTATAATTTGTAATGTTTTTGGCAACCTCCATTTTGCTTTTCCTAATTCGGCTCTAATTTTTGTTCTTGTCAACAGGACATACAGGCTTATCTTTCCTCATATCCTTACCAAATGTGTTACCTCTTCTCTTATCATAGTAGCCAACTGGTCAGCTATGATATAAAACAGAACTGGATTATTAAGGTATTACTTTTACAGTGATATTGAGAAATTTGTAATATATTTTTCTCTCATGAACATTTCCATACTTTCCCAAAGTATTTTGTAATTTAAGAACATTAATATTGATGTCTTCTGGTGGGGGGGACAAGTCTCAATTTTCTTTAAGAGGCTGGCCACTGGATGTGTGACCGTGCTCCAGAGAGTACATGGGCAACACAAATTGGACTTTTTTTTTCTTCTTCTTTTTTTTTGGTGGGGGAGTTACAAGAATGGGGGAAGTTGGCTTGTGAGTACTGGGAAGTGAGTGTAATTGGGGTGCATTATGTGAAATTCTCAAATAATTAAACATATTATGTTTTAATAAAACAATCTTTCTTTCAAAATTGCAACCTGGTTTTGAATATATGCACCTATTATTCCTACATTTCAGAGACAGAGTCAAAGGGTTTAGGAGGTAAAGGACAGCCCCATCTGTATAGCAAACTATTTAATGGTATGATACCTGTACTGTCTATGTCAGCATCATTCAGCAGACAGACTAGGAAAAGACATATTGAATGCTAAAAGTCAGTAAGGAATTATAACTGTATTGAAAGAGCTCTAAGAAGTACATGTTGAGGAACCTAAGTAAGTCAGAGCAACAAGATCCAGGAGGGAGTTCCTTCAAATAATTAACAAGAGTGTGAAATAAAACCTCTTGATATCTTCTTTCTCTGAGATTCAGTTTTCCCTCAGAGTGAGTTTTGTAGAAACCAGACTTCAGGAAGTGAAGTCACATTTTGAATCAGGCTCCATATATCTGTGCCTACAACATGTTTGGCACATATTTCTCTTTAAAATTATTATAATTAAAAGGCTACTTAATCATGAAGGGGCATTGGATTTTGTCAAAGGCTTTTTCAGCATCTAACAAGATGATCATTTGGGCTTTGTTTTTGCTTTTTTATATGGTAGATTACATTGACAGATTTTTATGTGTTGAATCATCCATGCATCTCTGGAATAAAGCCTACTTTATCGTGGTGGATGATCTTTTTGATGTGTTCTTGGATTCTGTCTGCCAGTATTTTATTGAGTATTTTTGAATCAATGTTCTTAAGTGATATTGGTCTGTAATTCTGATGTCTAACAATATTCTGCTATACACATAAATTGATGCCTAGCCCAACTGTCTTCAGGGAGGCTTCATTCAACAACTGATGGAAACAGATGCAGATCCACAGCAAAATAATAGGTGGATCATGGGGAATCCTACAGAAGAGTGGGAGAACAGATTCTAGGATCCAGAGGGGTAAAGGACATTACAAGAAAACCCATAGAATCAACTAACCTGAGCTCACAGGGGCTCACAGGGGCTCACAGGGGCTCACAGAGACTGAACCGACAAGCAAGGAGCCTGCATGGGATTGACCTAGGCACTCTGCATATGTTACAGTTGTGTAGCTTGGTCTTCTTGTGGGACTCCTAACATTGGGAGCAGGGGCTGTCTCCAACTCTTTTACTGGCTTTTGGGAAGCCTCATACTGGGTCACCTTGCCCACCCTTAATACATGGGGAGGTGTTTAGTCTTACTGCAAGCTAATATGCCATGTTTTGTTGATACTCATGGGAGACCTGCTCTTTCCTAAACAGAAACGGAGAAGGAATATATTGGGAGAGGGAACAAAGTGAGGGTAGGGGGGCTGGGAGGAGAGAATGGAGGGGAAACTGTGGCCAGGATTAAAATGAACAAATGTTTTATAAAAAGGCTATTTAAAATAATTATTGGCATCTTGTATTGCCTCCCTTTAAAGCAGTGTACAAGTTAAAAGATTTGGTTAATTTTGTTTTTATTTTTAAACTCTTTCATGTAATCTTGATACTAATCTCCCTTCTCAAACAATGATTGAATTTTCTTCTGCAGCTTGGCTCTTCACTCTGGAAATGGTTTCTTTTGCTGTGCAGAAGACTTTTAATCTCAGGTAATCCAACTTGGCAATTCTTGGTGTTATTTTCTTTGCTACTGGAGACATTTTTTCAGAAGATTTGTGCTTATGCATGTCTTGAGGTATTATTTCTAAGTTTTTCTTTTTGTTTTGAAATTTCTGCATTTTAGGTCCTGCATTAAGTAAGGTCTTTAATGCAGTTTCAATAGATTTCTCTGCTGGGTGAGAAATAAATCTTCAGTTAAATTCTTTTGTGTGCATATTCAGGCTGTCTATCATCTGTTTTGGCTATTATTTTTTCAAGGCATGAATTCTTTATATTTATTTGAGTGTATGCCACATGTGTGAACATACCCACAGAGGTCAGAAGGGAGCTGGATTTACAGGCCTCTGTGAGCCACCAAACTTGGGTGCTGGATACTAAACTCAAATCCTCTTAATTAAGCTAAGCCATCTCTCCAGCACTTCTAATAAATATTTCATCACTCGTCTATTCCATTTATTTTTGTAGCAATTTGTTCTTTGTCACTATAGGTCTGAGGTGTAATTTGAGGTCATGCATTATGATGCTTTCAACTGCATTCTTCTTTTAGGATTGCTTTAGCTACTTGCAGTCTTTCATAATTCTATATGAATTTTAGGATGCCTTTTAAAATCTGTGAATGATGTCATTGGAATTTTGATGGGGGTTTAGTTGAATCTATAGATCACTTTTGATAACATTGACATTTCTTCAATATTAGTTGTCAATCCATAAGCATAAGAGACCTTATTTTATAGTGTCTACATTCTTAGATATCAGGGACATGGAAAGTAAAATTGCTCTAAAAAAGCAATCTTACCTCAAAGTAGCTATGATTAAGAAAATAAATAATGATACATTCTGGAAAGGATATAAAGACAAAGGAATTCTTCTCTGTCCATAGTAACATTAACACTACAGAATTTATTTAAAATGCTAAAAATAGAAATCCTATTTGACCCAGCCATACCACATCTGAGAATATCCCAAAAGACTTTTAAGCCTTACCATAGGGATGATTGCACATACACATTTGTAGCTACACTATTCATGATGGATACAAATAAAACCAACTTAATTGTCAGCCGGGCGGTGGTGGCGCACGCCTTTAATCCCAGCACTCGGGAGACAGAGACAGGCAGATCTCTGTGAGTTCGAGGCCAGCCTGGTCTCCAAAGCAAATTCCAGAAAAGGCGCAAAGCTACACAGAGAAACCCTGTCTCGAAAAACCAAAAAAAAAAAAAAAAAAAAAAAAAAACCAACTTCATTGTCAACCAACAGAAGAATGGATAAATAAAATACTGTACATAAACATAATGGAATTTTATGCATCTTTAAAGAAAAATGTAAACATGACATACTCAGCGCAACGAATGGGACTTGAAATCATTACGTTATTAAAAAATAACTGAACCAGACTCAGAAATGTAAATCCTACTTGTTGCCTCTCTCACATAGCTCATAGATTTTTATTTTTACTTGTGTGCACATTTGTTGTTAGGGTGCTTTAAATACAAAGGATGCCATACGAGGGGAGGGAGAGATCTTAGGGGAGTCAATGGAAGAGTAAAAATTTAATAAGGTTCATTTCACTTGCATGCACAGAGGAGGTTACTGGGGAAAGGGAAGAAACCAGCAGAAGGTGGTGTGGTGTGATTTAAAACAAAATGGTCTCCAAAGACAGTGGCACTATTAGGAAGTATGGTATTTTTGGAGTACTTGTGGCCTTGTTGGAGGAAGTATGTCACTGTGAGGGCAGGCTTTAAGGTCTCTTTTCCTCAAGCTTCCCTCAGTGTGACACAGAGAGCATTTCCTGTTGCCTGCAAGATGTAGGACTCTCAGCTTTTCCTCCAGCACCATGTCTCCCTGTATGCCACCACGTCCCACCATAATGATAATGCACTGAATCTCTGAACTGTAAGCCACCCTAATTAAATGTTTTCCCTTATAAGAGTTGATATGGTCATGGTGTCTCTTCACAAAAAAAAAAAACAAAAACAAACAAACAAACAAACAAACAAAAACTAAGGCAGTGGTCACACAAATAAGGGAGGAGAAGGACCACTAAAACAATGTAAGAAACAAAATGCCCCAGTGAAACCCATTACCTGTGTGGGAATTTAATGCTGTTTTGTATTTATTTGCTCAGACAGCTCACTCTCCCGAGTGGCAGCTTTTCTTTGCTTTCTGGGAAAGATAGACAAAAGTGTCGTTTTCTTTTCATGTGAGCATCCTCCTGCTCTCTTGGGACTTACAGAACTTGAAATGGTTCCCCTGACAGTTTTGGGGCTGGAGGGAAGTCTTTGTTCAGATTCAACAAAAGAACTGTTTGCACTTGGCATATTTTTCTACAGTTAACAATGACTGGGTTTTGACATTTTCATATCTTTGCACTTGTGATGCTAAAATGGTAAGACTGAGTTGTAACTCCTGTATGAAGTCCAAAATGCCACCAGAAATAATTCAAATGGATAATATGAAAATTGCAAGACAAAATATAAATCTTGAAGGTAGATACAAGCTTATTTGCTGCATCATTAGGTGCATTATCCTTTTGTTTCTTAAGGATATATATAGAATATGGTTTTAAACATGTTCTGTGGAGAACAATGACAAATTAAGAACATATCACTTTCCCTTTCATAATAAAGATTAAAATTTAGCAATTGTCATGAAATTAAAATCCATTTTAATTCCATATATATATAAATACATATGACTTTCTGAGGTGTTAAATCTGTGCCTTTAAAATTAACATTTATGTTAAAATTTTGAGAAAATTAATTTTGTATTTTCTTTCACATTTGATGTAGGTGATTAAAATTAAAATGTATCCTTTAGATCAGTGTTTCTCAATGTGTAGGTCATGACTCCTTTGGGGATTATCTTAGTTAGGGTTTCTCTTGCTGTGATGAATGACCTTTTCACAGGAGTCACATATCAGATATCCTTCATACCATATATTTACATTACAATTCATAACAATAGCAAAATTACAGTTATGAAGTAGCAACAAAATAATTTTAGGATTAGGAGTCACCAAAACATGAGAAATTATATTAATGGATTGTAGCATTAGGAAAGTTGAGAACCACTGTTCTAGATATTTTGTAACTACTGAGAAAAGCCCCAGACTTACTACTACTACAGTTCTTGATAATAAATAAATGGTAATGATTGATTACAAGAACAAGTGAAGAAATTTGTGGTTTCTATTGCATAGGCTGGTAGACTTGGCCTTGTGAGTTTATAATGTTTTAAATTAAACTATCAGATATGTTAAAATATGTACAGTAGGCTATAGTGAAAAATGAAACTATTTGAAGTCACCCCTAAAGTTCATTTTATTTTAGTAGCTAATTGGCATGTAAGTAATTAAGAAAACTGGTGAGAAGTACCTTATAAATATAAATTCATGAAGAAACTTTTCAACTATAGTCATAAATGTAAGTAATAATTCCATAGCTAATGGAATAATTCATAATTGAAAGAAAGATGTTTTTATTATCAACATCCATCAGAATAAGAAAAGACGAATCGCTACTTAATTGCTAAAATGTCTAGCAATAAGAAGATATCAAATGACATACAAATAAAGAAAATATGAGGCCCATGTTTAGAGAAAAAATTCAGGTAGAAAACCTTTTAAAATGGGGACAAAATATTGGGAGGGGACAAAATTGGGTGTAAAAATCAATGAACTTTGTGTTAGAAGTTTTTTGTAAAAATGGTAAATGTAGGTTTCGGGTATGAAATAACCAAAATAATTTACTGTGCAGTTTCAAGAGTATATTTGCAAAAATCAACCAGTAAATATGGTTGTTAAATATGCATTATTAAATTTGAACAAAAAGGAGAAATTAATGCCAACAGAAAAATCAGTGGTTTCTGTAGGAAGTCTGGAATCCCAACCAGCATACCATCACACATAAAGAGCCAGGAGCAAAGTAGTGAGTAAGATTTCAAAAGAAAGACTGAAAACCTTGAAAAGTTTATGGAAATATGCAACTATGAGTTCAGAACTAATGTTAATATGCTCTGGGGAGGATGAATCCAAGTGGATTAGCATCCAGACACACCCTTACAGTACTAACAGTCAAAGTTTCGTGAAGAATCCTAGACACACAAAAAGTGACTCAACGCATAGTCATAATCCAATATGGTAAGCAAATATCATCACCAAAAAGCAGTTGTGATGGTTAGTGCCAATGGTCAACTTGACAGGATCTGGTGCAACTTATGAGACAAGCTTTTGGAGTTACCTGTCAGGGATCATCTAAATTAGGTTAGCACCTGGGTATGCTTGTGAGGGATATTCCTTTTTGTTTGTTTGTTTTGTTTTTGAGGCACGGTTTACTTGTGTAACATCTCTGGCTATATTAGCACTTGCTCTGTAGAGCAGGCTGGTCTCAAACTCACAGTGATCCACCTGCCTGTGCCTCCTGATTGCTGATATTAAAGGTGTGCTCCACTACTGCCCTGGCAAGGGATGTTCTTGATTAGGTTAATGTGGTGGAAAAATTGCCCACTATGGGTAGTGCCATTTCCTGTGCTGGGATCTTTGACTCTCTCAATAGGAGGAAATAGACTGAACACAACATTCATGTCTTGATTCTCTGACTATGGAAGCAGTGTGACCAGTTGCTCCAAGCTCCTGCTGCTTCAACTTCTCATTCATGATGGACTGTGCTTTGGATCAAAGTAAACACTTTCTCTCTTAAGTGATTTTTGTCAGTATTTTATCACAGAAACAGGACAAGAAACTAACATGGGAAAGAAGGTGAGAAAGCACTTTAACTTATTGAGAATATATTTTTCATACAATATATTCCAATTATGGTTTCCCCTCCCCCAGCTCCTCCAAGATCCTCCCAATTTTCCCAACCATGTGAATCCACACCCTTTCTTTCTCTCTTTCATTAGAATAAAGTAAAAACAAGCAAACCAGTATAGGACAAAACAAAGAAACATAAAAAAGAGCCAAATAAAAAGCACAAGAAACGCCCATAGACAC